ACCCAGGTCTCCGGACGCCCCCGCGTCCCACGTGTGAATTGAGTCCATGATGCCCGCGCCGCTGGGCCGGGGTCCTGGGAGGCGCCTGTACCCGGCTGGTCCGGCCGCTGAAGCAGGTTGGGGTGCATCGGAGTCCGTGCGGGACAGGAAGCGGTGCTGGCGGAGCGGGGACTTTGGATCTGGAGGGAGGAGGGAGATTTCAGCGGGGGGAGCAGGAGAAGGAGCGTCCAGCCTTGATAGGCGAGGTCGGCGATGGCAGACCTGGCCGGAAGCGGCGTAAATGTCTTCAGCTTTGAGCGCTGGTCGCTGTTGAGCTGCCAGGACAGCAAGGAGCTCGCTCCATAGCTGAAGTAGCTTTCCCCAGTGTAAGGGGCCAGAATGGGCAAAGGCACCCAGGCCGGGGAGGGAGGACATGCCCTCGGGCCGGGGCTTCCTTCTTCCGGCCATTCTCGGACCTGGCAGATGGTACACGCCCCTGAATGAGCCGATGTGAGGTCCAGGGCCAGTGAATGGCAGCTGCAGCGCCTTCTCGCTGCTGCTCTGGAAAGGAGAAAACCTTTTAAAAATGAAAGCTGCTTATTTATCCAGGGTTTTCTGACTCAGTGTCGCAAACGGTGTTCTTTTCCCCAGAGCAACCCTCCGCGAGGACCCTGTGTTATACCCCATAGCAGCCCTGCCCTGGGGAGTTAGGGTTCCACGGAACACACTTAGGGAAACGTGGACGGTAGAGGAAGCTTGGTCCCTGCTCTCCTAGGCCCTTAAACTTCTTAGTTCTCGGAGTTGTCCTGCTCTTTGGCTATAGCAAAACCTGTGAGGTGTGTCTCTTTGGTCTCTGCCGGGTGATAGGAGGGTCCGGTGCTCATCACAGCGAGAGGGGTGGGGGGGGGGCACGTCGGGCCAAGCAGAGGCCCTGCCTGTTGCTGACGATGCTGCTGCTGATGCACGTGTCCATGGTTTGTTTGTGACTGTCTCCCTCCACGAGCCAGGATGGGGCCTGGTCCACTCGCTTCTGAGCGTTCTTTTTCTTTCCCCTTTTGCTTACAAAAAAACTTAAAAAGTCCCTCTTTGCCTAGAACCGAGGAGGCTCAGGAGGAAGCGGTCTTTCGTGAAGTGGTCCGTTTCGCCCCGGACCCTTTGCCAGGTAAGACGCCCCGAGGCGCTCAGCTCATTCGAGTCTCTGAGTTCACTCCTGGGCTTCCGGCCGGGCTACCACTTCCTGCCTCAGTTCTCATGAAGAATCCCCTCGTTCCCTCTGCTTCCTCTTCTGACCAGTTAGATACTATGACAAGGACACCGCCAAGCCCATCAGCTTTTACTTGTCGTCACTGGAGGAGCTCTTGGCGTGGACGCCCGGCGTGGAGGACGGCTTCAACGTGGCCTTGGTGCCCGCCCAGGACCGGCAGCCCCCTCTGAGCAGCGGGCGGCCCCGGACCTTGCTCTGCCATGACATGATGGGCGGGTACCTGGATGACAGGTGAGGACATTGCGAGGAGATCGCCTGGTGGACAGGCTGGAGGAGAGGGAGGGCAGAAAGAGGCCAGGCTGGGGAGGCCGGAGCCGGGCGGAGAGCAGCGCAGGCCTCGGTGTTGTACGTGGAAGAAGAGGGGGTGGGTCGGGGGTAGCCAGGCCTCTGCCGGCTCTGAGCCCATCCCATTCTGCCTGCACCTGAATCCGGCCGGTTGGCCGGGGCCCTGCAGCCGGGCACCCCCCTCAGAGCCTGGCCGGAAACCTGGCTCTTCCCCCGATGACTTGCTCCTCTTTCCCTCCCTGGGCTCTGACTCCGTCTTGCCCCCCGGCTTTGGCCTTGCAGGCCTGACCAGGGAAAATGTTCCACAGGCTGTGCAGCCTTCGCGGGCAGAGCTGCACATGCCTTTCCCACCCCCAGCCAGGGGCGTTTGCTGCCCCATCAGCGCCCAGATCTCCACCGCCCAGAAAACAGTCCCGGGCAGCCGTGCCGGGAAGGCTTGCGGCAGAGCTGGCCATCCAGGGGGCGGGAGTGGCTGACGAAACCAGGTGCCTCCCCTGCAGGAACGCTGTCCGGGAGGTGCTGCTGCCTCCACCAGAGCAGGACGCCCGACACCTGGAGCTTTTGCACGAATCCTTCTGCCTCTATTTCCTGCTGTTGTGTTCCTCTGGGCATCGAGGAGCCGACAGCAAAGGCTGCACAGCCTGTGGGACATTTTCCCTCCCTGACAGCCCTATGCTACACCCCATAACCGTCTTCCCCTGAGGAGTCAGGGTTCCACGGAACACACTTAGGGAAGCGTGGACTGCTGAGAAAGCTTGCCCTCAGGACGGTGGCGTGATCGGTGTCTGTGGGTGCCCGGCGCACAGCAGGCCTTTGGTCGGTGTCGACGGACGGGCCCCCGGAGAGGCGTCACTCGTGGTTGCTCTCACCTGGAGGCCGCTGAGTCCTTATCCCACGTCCCGGGCCCTCACCTGGCTCTGTTCCCCCCCAGGTTCATCCAGGGCTCAGCGGCCGAGAGCCCCTACACCTTCTACCACTGGCAGTACATCGACATCTTCGTGTACTTCAGCCACCACCTGGTCACCGTCCCCCCGGTGGGCTGGACCAACGCCGCGCACAGGCACGGGGTCCGCGTGCTGGGTAAGAGCTGAGGCTGTGCCTGCCGGTGACCCGCGATGACGGGGCTAGCTGTGCTGGGGAGAGCGCCGGGCCTGCGGGCTGCCCTGAAAGGTGGGGACAGATGGAGGCAGACTCGTGCTGGGAAGCAGATGAGTATCTTTAATTTTATGGCCGCTGGGTCGCTGTTGAGCTGCTGCTAAGACAGTGAGTAGCCTGCACAGACAACAGGCAGGCAAAGGGTGGGCCCTGGCCGGCGTGGCTCAGTGGATGGAGAGTCAGCCACGGGCAAAGGGTCCTGGGTTTGGTTCTGGTCAGGGGCCTGTACCTTGGTTGCGGGCTTGATCCCTGGCCCTGGACGAATGCATGGATGTGTCTCTCTCACATCGATGTTTCTCTTCTGTCTGTCTCTCCCTCTCCCTTCCACTCTCTCTCTTAAAAAAAAAAAAGATCAGTGGAGAAGAGAAATATCCTCGGATGAGGAATCCAAAACAAACAAACAAACAAAAAGCAACCCAAAAATCAGGTGGCGGCTGACCCCTGGGTGCAGCAGTTTCTCAAGCTTCCCCATCTGGTCCTTCACTGCGAGTCTCACACCCACGCCGGCCCCGCCCGCCCCGTGTCTGATTCACAGTGGCCACAGCGATGCTGCTGGTTCAGGGCCCTGCGCACTGGGAGGCGTCGGTCGGACGGGGAGGTTCCAGGCCTGACCTCGTTCTCCGTCCCACAGGCACTTTCATCACCGAGTGGAAAGAGGGGGGGCAGCTGTGCGAAGCCTTCCTGGCCGGGGATGACCGCTCGTTCCAGGCGGTGGCGGACCGGCTGGTCCTGCTGGCCCAGTTTCTGCACTTCGACGGCTGGCTGATCAACATCGAGAACTCTCTGAGTGTGAGCGCGGCCTTTCTCGTGTTGCCTCCAGGCCCAGCCTCTGCTGCCTCGGGGTGTCCCTCCGCCGTGTCCTCCCCTCCCCTTGCCCACACCCAGGCCGGCTCCCCGGCTCCCCGTGACAGCAGCTGGGCCGCTTCTCGCTTCCCAGTGAGAGCCGGCTCCTTCCAGTGGACCCCTC